TTTGAAGAGCCAATGCTCAGTACACGTTTTAGGTCACGTAGTCGAACAGGATTCGGCTTATATCCTTCATCGTTGCTTCGTCTTATAGATGCGATGAGGTCGACTATTACGAAAGGAGGATCACCACGGTCGAACTTGCTTGGAGATGCGATAGTTTGTGCATTGCATAGTAATCCTTCTCTGTAATCACACAAAATATTGAAATTCGTCAAGAGAGAGAGAAATAACTATACATACACATATTCTTGCTTGTTTGTCTCAGCATTAACTACTGACACTCGACCTTTCTTCATTTTTTGATGAGCATCTGCCACCGTCACTTCGTCGAGGCGCTTCATCATCGCTGTACATTTCCCGACAACTTCGACTTCGAATTGTTCAATGTTATTGTGACAAGACCTGTAAAGAATTGTCTATGCAGAAGATTTAATAATATTATTATGATAGTATTTACTCACAGAATAGATAATTCCGTACTTGTAACAGTACGTTTTCTCTCTTTGCATTCAGGTCTCGAGCATATTATTGTGCTTGAGTGACGTTGTTCACTTTTGATAAAGCGGAAAACGTTTTCATCCAACGAGCCAAACATGCTCTTTGTTTGCCGATCCGACGTTTTCAAACGATTGTATGTGAGTAGCCAATTAATACGAGCAACATCCCACCCTTCTGTTTCGACCAAGTGAAAAGTTTTGTAAAGTGTCGCGCATGGTGATTTATCCGGCGCATTAATAAGTTCTTCGGCAATATCGAGATCAGTTCGATAGACGAAATAAAGAGCAAATAATGCCGAATCGACGTTACACGTATCATTAATTGAGTACGATCGACCTTTAAAAAGAAACAAGATCATATACTAGCAAGCGTTGCAATACAGCTATTCAATTTCTTCTTCAACCTTGAAATAGTACACTTCGAATTTGAAATTTGGGCCATCGTAGTGTGTAACCATCGATAATCGTTTCCCGCTGGGGGGAGTGCTGAGAAGACGGATCATTTGATAATTGATCATTTGTCACATTCGGTTCTATATAGAGGAGAAATTTCATTTCTTTCTCAATAATAAATGCATGTAATGGTATATACCGTTGCGTGAGTGGTACAAGGAGTTCTTCAGTGGATAATCGACATTTGTTCCAAAAGTGAATTCACTAGATGCTTTACTTGGTCCAACATCGTTCGTCATTGATTTATCTAAGCACATAAGAACACCAAGAGAAGCTTCGCTACTTACCGTTGAATTATTTTCCGACGAAGAATTTGTTTCATTGGAACACGATGATTGACTATAATTATCAAGAATTTCGTTTATATGAAAAGATTTTCATTCATAACAATTTTCTTACTTTAGAGACGTGTTATCCTCTATATCATCAGAAGTAGATATTGGTTCACCTGATGAAGAAACAGTTGCACTCTCGTCCGTTTCACTAAACAAAGACGTGCAGTTTTAATAGTTAATTAATTTCCAGGAGTTTACCTGATTTTTTTCTTCGTGTAAGATTGATCTTCAGCCATTTTCAATCGGGCACGTTTCGAGGCAAATTTGTCGATGACATTGAAATATATACTTCGGCGTTTTTGACCAACAGTTTTTTTCCCCCACTTCTCTTCTACATTCATATTCTTCTTTTTTCTCTTTCTACCCTTCGAACTCTGTGTCACACTGAATTTACTAGCTTTGAACTGCGCCTGAACACTTCGATATAGATCGGTGATGACATCTGATGGTCGAACATGAGTTTTTCCCTTAAAAATACTCCCTTTCATTGTACGAAAATAACTTTCAATTAGAGCATTCGAGTGACGAATAGGATTGTATGTTGGTTGTGTCGTCTTTTCAATATTATTTGAATACCGCTCCTCGAAATGCCACAACAAACCTGTCCATAGCGGTAAATATGCCCACCATTTATAAAAAATGCGAATGATTGCTGGAGAAAAGAGTGGGTTGATAATTTCATCATACTTACTTTTCGAATTAATAAGAGTAATAAGAGTGGGATATAGTCGAATGGCTTCTTCATTGAAAGGTGACTGATGGATGATGGCAGTATTGGAACGAAAATATTCGTCGACCGCTTTCAATTCATTTTTCTTTTTTTTAGCTTTTTTAAATATCTTTTTATCATTGGTTAATAATAGCACACTTTCTTTATCAACGTTGAATTAAGAGCGAGCAATCGTTCAAAATATTCTTGTGCGTTCTCTTCATTCGGATTACCGAATATACTGACGAGTGATCCGAGAAGGTCATATAATTGTTTGATATCGTTGCAACACAAAATGAAGGCGAATATATGCAGGATACCTCGGCGAATCTTTTTCTCAACATTCGCTGCGCTCAAACTTCTTGCGACAGCATGAATGACATGGCACCAACAGAAGTGTATATATGACATGGATCGCAATTCTTGAGTATTGTACTTACCACACAGAACATTCCAACATCTATTAAGATGAATCTTAATGTTTTCTCCATTGAATGCTTGAAGAGTTGCATTCAAGATAGCAGGAGAAAAATCAATCACAAAAAAAGAGGGGAGAATTAATTTGCCTTCCACTTGGGTAATACTCTGCGCCACGTTTCCGAAGAAATAACCAATGCTCGAAACAGTGTGATCGGCAAGAGCACCATGAGCAAGCGGGATGGTATCATTCGAGTCATTCCCGTCTTTAAAAACAAGCGCATACAGCAAGGAAAGTTTTTGCTCCAGCATTTTTTTGAGCACACTTCCTGTAGCATCGATATGAACGTAAGAATATTTCTCTTTGGTACAGTACCTGATATATCGTTCGATTTGGGATTCTGAAAACAGATGCACACGAAACGGCGTTTCACCAACAACGCGAACATATCCTTTGGATAAAAGCAGAAAATATAATTAATAACAAGGTTTCTCTGGTACGATTTTGGCATACCTTTAGCATTAGTGGATGTCACATCCGCCGCAAGATACGCACGAGCAATAATTCGACATTCTTTGAAAATGTCTTCATCAACATGCATCTTTTTTCTATAATCATATGCGGCTTTCTTGAGAGTTTCAATTGTTTCACATCCTGTGTAGTTGCCCGCAGCGAGGAAACTCTCATTAGCATCTTTGACGTGTTCACGAAAAACTCCCAGCGGACCGATTTCGTTTGCTTGCTTTCCTAAAATATATAAAACTTATTAATTTAAAATTCGTTTCCGAACTGAACATTAGGAGTACATACCGACAAGGATGCGATTTTTACCACGAAGCTGACGTGCGGATACTTAAGTGTTAATATTATGATTCTCCTTGCCAGTAATTCGTACAAGAAAGAGCACCGACGCATTCTCTTCCGGTTCCTGTTTTAAAATTATTTGATATTTTCGGCTGCAGATGCTAATACTGCACATAGCGTAACAGCAAAAAAAACTGCACGCCTGCTTCCGTGTTCCCTTTTTAATATACGGTGTTTTAAATTTCACTGGACATTTAAATCCGCATGATGTCAATTTTTCATAAAACATATCAGTCCAATAAGGTTTCATTTTCTGATGAGTGCGACTAAAAGCACTCTTCCATTCGTTGAAAGTAAGAACAACAGAAGTTTCAGTTTGGACCGCATGAGTACTTTCTTGTTGGTTAGGACGCGTCTTGGGTCGCTGAGGTAGCGGTAACGATGGATTGGAATGCAGAGATAAGTCATTTTCCGCTGGAACGGAAAAACGCTCTGTCCGATCAAGACTAGTGTCGTTTCCATCGTATTTAGTCTTACCTGTTCCGGCTTTCTGTTTTTCGACAAGAAATTTAATTTCGTTTCGACCACGACACCAAATGTTGTAAAGAGAAAGACGTGTACATTCACTTTGATCCAGCTTTAACCGATCAATAAGTTCACTCCAAACAGAATCTTCCTGACAAGTCTTCGCATTCAGCCTCCATGTTTCTTTTTTCAACTTGTCAGAGCGATCTCCGACAGAAGCGATAGCAATAGCTAACTGCTCTACAGTGATTCGTTCCCAAATCGACTTTTTTTCGCTTTTGGAACGAAAACTACTCATTTTTCACAAAGCTAAATAAAACTTAAGCATGTAGGATTACAAAACTTTACCGTTAATCACAAACGAACAGTGCAATCAATATACGTTCAGACAATACTATCACTTTACAAACTCGATGAGTTAATATGATATGACCAAACCCTAAACGTGTTCTCACTCTTCATCAATAAACAGGAAAAGAGAATGAAAATGGTCCAATGAGAACGAATAATACATTAAACATCCAATGATCTTCCTCCTGTATATTCCAAACGCATCTCAACACACACACAACGTTCAAAGGCATCGTGATCATCCACTACCCTTATCAAACAAAATCAATATGACAGACAGCGTCTTCTTCACATCTCTCAAACAAATGTGATCACAATCCTCACAGGAGAAAACAAAACAGCCCCCGGACGCGTCAACGTAATCGAAAAACGATCACGTCACATCACAAATATTAACAACTAATTAAATCACAATCTGTCACATAAAACTAAACTATTCTCAATCACCAAGAACACCGCCATAAATGATTTTCTCATCAAAGACTCAACGAAACCTATAATGTAACGAGCGAATTCTGTAGAGCTTGATGAGTTCCACCTGTGTCCACGACGAGGAGAGTTGGCACCAGTGACATAGCGAATCGTGGCACAAATTATCTGATATTTCTCAGTTGTATATATATAGCTTGTAGAGCGTGAAAAGTAATTAGCGATTTTCTCATTAACTATGCGTGGAACAGGGAAAAGTTCCGGGTGAATTTTGTAGAGCTTGATGGGTTCTACTTGGGTCCATGAAGGTGAAAGTTGGGTCCGGCGAAGGGGCGAATCGCGATCGGAAATACGGAAAGATTTTAAAAGTGGTTGGGTGATTAGGTTAGGATTCGGGTTATTTTCGTTTTTTGATTGGTTTGCTGTAATTAGTTTTGGAGCCCAATGTGTGGGGTTTGTAGAGCTCGTCGAGATGTGCTTGGGTCCATCGGGAGTGGGTTGGATCCAGTTGGGGGGCGAATCCATTCCGGAAATTTTGGAATCCTGACCTAAGATATCCTACGTTATGTCGACATAGACCATAGCTGGCAAATTTTTCATAGTACACAACTGGTATTGATAGCTGAACTACTTTTCGAACTCACTCTCACACTGCTCACCCTCACCTCCCACCACATACTGTCAGACATACCCAATGTGTACTATGAAAAATTTGCCATGTATGGTCTATGTCGACATGTACCATACGAAAATTTTTCAATCCCTAATATAGCCGGGGGAAAAATTCCTATGGTCTATGTACGCATAATGTCGTTCCTCAAGCACGAAAAAAGCACTTAGCATCGCTCGATGCATCTAGATTCACTAGATACAATGATAGATGCAGCTAGCTGCAAAGGAAAGAGAGAAAAGTTGAATCGACCGTCGCTCGATGCAGCTAGGTGCATAGGAAAGACACAAAAGTTGAATCGAGCATCGCTCGATGCAGCTAGATGTGGACGACGAACTGCTAGATGTATCGACGAAAAGACGATGGAGATTTTTAAAGAATAAATAAATAACTGTGCATCTAGTAACTGTCGATACAGCTAGCTTCATTTGATCGATGCACTAGTCGATCCAGCTAGATGTATGAAGCTAGCTGCATCAACAGTTACTAGATGCACAGTTATTTATTTATTCTTTAAAAATCTCCATCGTCTTTTCGTCGATACATCTAGCAGTTCGTCGTCCACATCTAGCTGCATTGAGCGATGCTCGATTCAACTTTTGTGTTTTTTCTATGAGGCCAGCTGCATTCACTAATGTATCTATTAAATAGAAAAGCATAAAGATATGATGATACAATAGAATAAATAAATACACTAGTAGATTATGGCCGTAAATATTTTCCTAAAAGAAATAAGAAAAAGAACTCAAAACGGATCGACAATCCTTTTCAGTGACCGAATTACCGTAAGATAATCGTTATCACATATGATGATAACATCATGCTTTGACTTGTGTAGCATGTGTATCCGAGAGATACTGACGCTCAAACCATTCGGATTAATAATACGGTCGAGCCAGAATGTCATTTTAGACCTGTACTCTCTATATCTACCGTACTGACCGAGTATAGTATATTACTACATCCACAAACCAGGAGCGAATAACGAAATTATTACACCGAGGTTGTCACTTATTTCTATTCTCTTGCAAACTTCTATATATTCTGATATTCGTTTAAGATTGTGCAATAATCCATAGTGATAAAACAGGGACTACTCAGTCATTGGTAGCTAGAGTTAATAAGCACTCTCAGAACCTTTTTCTACTCCGCACCGAACAGTTTTGTCTTTTACTGTTTCGTTTTTCCCAAAGCAGCACTCCAATTTTTTCATTGTTTGAACTGTATTTCCTTTATATATGCATCATGATATGACAGATATCGATTAAGTAGATCAATGTGCCTGGATAGCCTAGTCGGTAAGTGCGTCGTAAGTATATATATATAATTCTATATATGATATGTAATCTAATACGAAGTGGTCGAGTTCGATTCTCGTAGGCACAGATTGTTTTTTTACTTTTTTGTATCTAGCTGCAGCGCTCTAAACTAGATGCAGAAACTGTGAAAAAAAATCGATGCAAATGGCGATGCACTATTAATGCATCGCGCTAAATATCGCCTTTTTTATCGTTTCAATATTCCTATATTGGTAGGCGATGCATCGCCTCTTGCATCTAGTGCATCGCTTTTACTCGATGCATCCAGATAACTAGATTTTTTTACTCATTAATCTAGATGCTCCTGCTGTATGATCATGATGTGGCTAGATGAGTCTGAGTTGTGTATTTAAATCTCGACTTCTGAATGGAACAACCGACTATGTGGATACAATAGGGTACGACACTAATACATCCGATTCGACATTGAATCAATTTGCTTGCCCTTTTGGCGTTTCAGTGGATTCAACCGACAGTAATATTTTCGTGTTGGATCAAGGTAACAATAGAGTTTTAATGTTTCCTGTGAATTCAAAAAGTGGAATGAATGGCACATTAGTTGCGGTATGTCTTGTATAGCTTTAGTAGTTTAAGAAAAACTTTTCAGCAATGTCCTACAGATAATTCTTTCCCTGAATTCTGTTTCTCATTCTCTATATATTACAGGATGATAATGTTCAAGGTTACACTACAAATCAGTTTTATTTACCCTCCGGTATGTGCTTTGATCCAATATCCGGCTGTCAGTATGTATCAAATTACTATAGTAACACTGTAAACAAATGGTTACCGGGTGCTACGAATGGAGCATTCATTATTGGAATCACTGGTCACTATGACACAACTGCTTCGAATACAGAATTATATCCATGCTGTTATAATGGATCTACATCACCTGGCCGATTACGGGCACACAGACAATACACTTGATAAAAGTTGGTTTTCTGAGAGATGTGAAAGAATTCCCAAAGACCGATACATATTTTCTTTCTGCACGTAATGACAAATGGAATGGCATATGAATCAGGTCTTTCTCTCTTAACAGGAAAAACTAGATAGGTTTCTGAGCTGAGCAAGTAGTGTTTTGAGTCCTGGTGCATTGATCGTTCGTCGAAGTTCTATTTTTCGGTCTAGAACCTTAAAATACCCTCCACTAGATTTTGAACAAGGAACCCGAAAAACATTGTTTCGAGACTCCAAACTTATATGGAACAAAATTAGGCGTTCATTTCTGCAATTCTGATACGTTTTGAGCATTTTGAAATTCTGCAGTTTTTCGAAGTTGACCACCTTTTTCCATGGGTTGAAACGCACATATATTCGGATGCAGCTTGACGAGCTCTATTCAACCGTGTATAAATTGTTGAGAAAAAAATAATGCTATACCTTTCATTTTCGTGCACCTTACTAACTTCTCGATATACATAGAGAAAGATGCTAAATAAGCAAACCCCTTATGCGCAGACTTTTTACTAATTCTAAATATAGCCAACAGCCGGCAGTTTAGGTTTCAAGCACGCTTTTTGTAAAAATAATATAAACCAACATTTATTTTTTATGAAAATATTCATTTGTAAAAGGTGACTACAAAAGGTTCTTTGAACTCGGTAATGAAGCAAAATTGTTTAGGAGTTAACAGGTAATTTCACATGTAAAACACGTTTCTTTTAACAAAGTCGAATATCTGTGGTGTTGGGCTGGTTAGCTCTCATAATATGCGCTTTGTACATTTTGGTGAGATGCTTTATGTGGCTTTATCCACAGATATATAAATATATTCTTTTCTTGCTTAAATTTCTTTTGAAAATTAACTTCTACTGTCACATTATCCTTTCGACGTGACAATTTTTTATACGCGACAAATAACATTACCATATCCTCATGAGGGATTTGGGCTTTCAGCATATTTTTGTGTTCGATCTTGAAAAATGTAATAACCAATTCTATGAACACTAACAACTCATCTCAGACCACTACGAATTTCGTCGATAACTAACTGTTCAAGATTCATAAGTTTATAATCATAAATTGTTGCATCAGCTAAAAATTAATCTCGAAAAATATTAATCCATTCATTTTCCATGCCAGGATCAGCAGCATTTGGTGCATAATTATAATTTGCAAAACGAACTAATTATGCTTGTAAGAGCCCAACCCTCTTCACTCTCAATAAATACTTGTGTCAACCCACTTTATTACTTAAACAAATCTGTATATATAGGATACAAGAACAAAGAAAAAGAAAAAGAATGAATTCTTATATAAAATGACTAAATGACTAAATAAACGAACTGGACAGACGACGAAAAGTAAGAACAAAGAAAAAGAAAAACGAATATAGATATTTACTAATCATGCAGTGAGATGATGATAATATAGAGAAAAAACCGAAACATGATATGTGATCTGTGTGATATATGTATCGAGATACCTGACTGTAACAATGCTTTATGCACCGAATGAGACAGACAGACCGAGAAAGGAAGTTTAAATGAAGTATCTGCTATTCTTTTTTGAGCCGGAGGTAGT